TTCCCCTACTTTGGAGGCATTGAAAATGCAAATAAATCATACTTTGTCCAAAGAAAAGGAAATTCACCAATACAGAAATTGCAAAAATAAATAAAAAAAATGGGATAGGTGACTTGCTACCCCAGGCCTAGCTCTGACTTCAATTTGAATAGATTATTATCTTAAAGAGGGGAAGACTGTCTGGTATGTCTTTTATTGGAGGGTAATGGCCTCCTGGATTTTCGTGCTGACTGGCTGGTTGACATATTGTCTATGGCTGTATAAAATACTTATATGATTTATAAGGCATGCATGTTTGAATGTTTTTTTTTTTTTTTTTGTTAAGTGTTTAGTTCACTTATAAGTTACAGCGCTGAGCAAACTGTTGGCGCTATATAAATACTGTATAATAAATAATAATAATAATAAGTTACATACAGGTATACTAATAATTTTATATATAATTCATTAGAGAATGTGATTGTTGTTGCTATATAATAATAATAATAATAATGTAGGACGCTATTTGGTTAAATGTACTTTTGAAAGGTCTGTAATTATATACAGTAAGAGCTGTGAAAATGTGGAATAGACTTCCTCAAGAGCTGGTTCTTGCCAGCTCAGTGGATTGCTTTAAAAAAGGTCTGGATTGTTTCTTAGATACACAGACTATAACTGGACACTAACATTTATAGGCAAAGTTGATCCCGGGAATATCCGATTGCCTCTTGGGGGATGAGGAAGACATTTTTTTCCCAGCAGGAAATGGTTAAACTGGATGGACTTTTATCTTTTTTCAGTCAGACCAACTATGTAACTATATTAATAATTGACTGTAACTGTGAAGTGAGACAGGATTGTATGGATGTTGGTTTTGTAAATGTAATGTCAAAAACAAATTAAAAAAATTTTTGGAAGAAAAAAAACTAATTTGCTGCCAATTTACCCAATTGCCCATTGTATTTTGGTTCTTGTCATAAATATCAATGATTTTGAGAATTATGTCACTATAGAAAGCAGAGATAATAATTCATAGAGGTGTTTTTATGCTTTCACTCTTGTTTGACCTGAACAGACACCAATGCTTAGATATACTCTGAATATTATGAGAGAAAAGCATCTTTTAAAGGAATTGTGGGTTACATGTTTTGTAGCAACATTAGCATGGACTATTATGTTATCATAATGGAGAAAAAGACAATGACAAGAATGTGTTTTTTTTTTATAGATGTGTTGCAGAGTTCACAATTAGGACAAAATAGCATCATGAAATAGGAACAATAGAAAGTCATCCAAAGTAGCATAGCATGTAAAGAGGTGATGCACATTAAGAGTAACATGTTCTATTCTCTGATTGGTCAAAAGTGTTTTGCAATCACAACAAAGGGTGGTTGTTGCTAAGGTGTGTAGATCAAATGTCAGCAGCAACTATAGAGGAAGGAGTTCCTTTGAAGTAGGGAGAGACCAAACAAGGCTAGCCATTGTGAGTTGTGAGTTTGTGGTGACATACCCCATGTGGGAGCTTTTTATGGCGAAAGACTGTTAAGCAGCAAAGGAGTTCATCAACCTCTTAAGAGTAACTTTGTTGTTGTTAAAGCTGTGGGCCTGAACTGCTGATTAGCATGTTGTTATGTTCTGCATACAAAAGGTCTTCAGTAAAGTTCCTGACCATTCAAATATTAAAGCCTCCTTTATCTCCAGTGGTGTTATCAAAAGAATCTAGAAAAAAGTGACGTGAATGCTGGTTAATGGAAATGGAAGACTGGGCACTAAGTGTGGTGTGAAGGGGCTGTATCTGTACCATTAGAGGAAAATATGTTTCTCTGGTTCTAGATTCTGGGAAGAATTCAAAGAGGATTGGACTCTTTGAGGAGGATGTGTGATGCCTCCTGGATTAAGCTGTGAGATTCAAGAATGACCTGGTGCACATCTTTAGAGGGATGAAGCTATGTCCCAAAACCACTCTACTCAGAGAAGCCAATGCGTACTGCAGCATTTAGCTAGGGCATGGTGGTTGGGTGTACAGCCTTAGAAACTCCTAATGTTAGGAAAGTGGTCTAAGCTCTGAAGGTATATGTGTATGATGCTTTCCCCTTCAATATAAGTGTGGACCACTGGACTGTTAAAGGTTTTCCACTTTTAACCAGGTCTTACAAGTGGATGAGGGAAATTGGTTTGATCTGGGCTAAATCTTGATTAACGCAAATTTGTGGCCATCTCTATGTATAAAACACAAATAACCTTAGGAACTAAACTGTCTGGATATGAAACAGGGCAGACAGACATAAGGGAGAATAGATAAGCATCCATAAGGGTTCTTAGCAAAGGTCAAAATGTTCCTTAATTCTTTGGGATGAACCAAAAATTCACAGATCTACATCAAATAAATTGGCATGATCTGAGTCAAGCCCAGGTTTCCATCAACTGGATCTCTGATATCTCATTATACGATGTAAGAATAAAACACACACGTTTCGAGGAGCCTGTTAGTTCCTTATCTCTCCTTGAAAGCCTGTGTTGCTCCACTTGAGAGGCCATTATCACAGACACCGCACTGAAGGAGAAGATCTTTATGCCCTTTCAGCAAGGAAAGTTCATTTGTTTGGTACAGCAAGAGAGTTTGAAAGTTTAAAAAAGTGCTCATTGTTCAATGATGAGTCACCTTTGAAATTTCTCAGCTATGAATCAGATGACCTGCCTTCGGCGGCACAACTATGTTTAGAGAAAACTTCAGGAGAGCGGCTATGATAATGGACCCCTGTCCACAGTCGTTTGATCAAATGTGCTCCATAACAAACAGTAGCATCCGAGCCTTCCAATATGGAGTAATAGTGTGTTGTGAAAGCCAGCCAGGCACAGCAGTCACAGGTGATTGTGATGACAGCATCTCCGATATAAGCAGAAAACCAGCTGAGTTTACTGATGGCTGACGTACAGACTCGGCTGTGCCAACAAAACATTTTGGGGCCTCATGCCAGAATTAGAACAACAAGGAAGTCTCCTGGGGACATGTTTGATCCGCTGTACTTATAATGAGCTGGCAGATGAGTGCACTTGTTATAATCGCAATAAATATAAAAAAGTAATAAAATGCAGAAATAATGATTGATTTTGACAGCTCATGTATAGAATTTCCATGTAAAAGCAGCTAAAGAATGTATAGAAGGAAGGTGGTAATATATGAGATTGAGACTTCCATGTACACTACAAAGCTTTTAAATAATAATTACACTTTTGAAGCTTTACTCTTTTCTTTACCTCTTTCCCTACCCTGGCATTTGCATTACAGGTCAAATAACCTAATACTGCATTCCTCCAAGATGTTCTCTGTTGGGCAGTGATATGTTCACAGACAGTGCCACAGTTAGTGGACCCACAGCTTCACAGAAGTACCAGACTCCCTCCTAAGCGCAAACGTGGGCACCCAGCATTCTCCAAAGCCAAGCATGGCACACTGCTAAAACCTAGGGTGCAACCTGCTGAAGACCCCACACCAACAGCCAACTAGCAGACAACCAGGCAAATCCCAAAACCAAGGTTAGATCAGTGGACAAAAAGCAGGCCTCAAATATAGGTTGAATATCCAGGAAGTAATCCAGATCTGAATAGTCATGTAGGTACAAGCAAAATAAATCTGTTGACCAAGCACTTGCTGGGAGTAATAAGCTTCTTCTATAGGTAGTTAAGAATGGTCAGGTATGCAGGTTACAGGGTGGCCAGAAGCAGGCCAAAGATGGCAATAGACAACAATTCCAGCAATTCAATATCACTTACAGAATCTAGCCATGCACAATTTTTGAGACACAATCTCAGTCATGGACATATGATTATAGATGAGCTAATTACAGCTGAGGGCTGTCCACACCTCAACAAGCATGCTTGGAAATAGTTGTAATGTTTCCTGAAGCTCTCCTACAGGTTGTGCAGTTCCAAGCAAGCCACACAGTGAAGATTTCAGAGAAATGGGGTTATAGATAAATCACTGATAAGGGTCACTGTTAATCTACATTAACAAAAAGACTTTGTGTGACACACCACCATGTGTGCAGGATGAATCCTGCAAATCTGTTATGACAATGAGTAGGAAAAACTAGAAGGACCCTACCAAAATAGCCACACTAATATATAAAACCAAAAGTATTACCATATCTTAGAAGTGGGTGAACAATGCCACATCCCAAATTATACCAGAAACAGGGGCAGACTGACAACTCATGGGGCCCCCGGGCAATAGGGGATCATGGGGCCCGAGTCCTTGCCCAAACTCAAAAAAGCCAATGAAAAAGGTACCAGGGGCATCTCATGGGGCCCCCTACTGACCCTGGGCTCTCGGGCAGTGCCTGAGTTTCCAAATGGTCAGTCTGCCCCTGACCAGAAACAACAAGAAGGGAAATAACTTCCCAAAATAGGGGACTTTAAAGGCATCATAATCAAAATAGCAACACAATTTTATGACAAAACGAATTTATTGAAACTTGTTATACAGGAATGGTGGGATAATGCATAACCACCATACTATTCCTACAAACACTGTAATGCATAATATTAAAACCAGTACAAAAGCATAAATAAAGTAGATGCGGATGTATCCCGCTGGTCTGTACCAATGCGTTTTGAAGTCCACAACTGTTTCATTAGGGAAACCGGGGAAAGAATTTCAGCATTTGTCACATGTATATCAACTGCGGAATCTCAAGAGGATATCACACTCAAGGTCTAAATACCAATCCTCCAGAAACCAATTGTATGGGTGGTATTACGGGCACTGGACCAGTCAAAGGGGAGACGGGGACCACAACCAACCACACCATCACAGCAGAAAGTAAACATGCAGCAGGATCTCCATGGTAGGCAGACTGAACAGCAGCACCACTCTAATATATAATTTTAAAGATCATTTTATTAATACAGAAACACATACACTATATTGTCAAAAGTATTGGGACACCCTTCCAAATCATTGGATTCAGGTGTTCCAATCACCTCCATGGCCACAGATGTATAAAATCAAGCACCTAGGTATGCAGACTGCTTCTACAAACATTTGTGAAAGAATGGGTTGCTCTCAGGAGCTCAGTGACTTCAAGCATGGTACCATGATAGGTTGCCACCTGTGCAATAAGTCCATCCATGAAATTTCCTTGCTACTAAATATTCCACAGTCAACTGTTAGTGGGATTATAACAAAGTGGAAGCAACTGGGAACAACAGCAACTCAGCCATGAAGTGGTAGGTCATGTGAAATGACAGAGAGGGGTCACTTCAGCACATGCTGAAGTGCACAGAAGTCACCAACTGTCTGCAGAGTCAATAGCTAAAGACCTCCAGACTTCATGTGGCCTTCAGGTTAGCACAACAACAATGCATAGAGAGCTTTATAGAATGGGTTTCCAGTGAAAGGGCCATCTTAACATTTTGTATTAGAGCTCACGCACAATGGGCATTTTAATATATCTAACGTTACCAGTGTTTTTAAATCACGTTAAAAACGCAAGTTTTGCTGGGTTTTTTTCTAGCGTTTTTTTTTTGCATTAGTGTTTAGCTGCATTTTTCAACATTTTTTATCACAAAAAAGTAAAAAAAATGTTGCCTCAAAAATGTCGGTTTGCCCGCGTTTTACCACGTATACCAGCGTTAGAGCATTTTTACAGCTAAAAAAACCTCTTCAAACCCAATAGTTGTGAGTTTTTCTCCAGCTACAAAACGCCCCTGCCAAAAAATGCTGATTAAAGCCTATGTGTGCATAGACACATAGGATAACATTCTGGGGAGTTTACTGGCTGTAGAAAAAATGCCAGAAGCCAAAAACAGCAGCTGTAAAAATGCCCAGTGTGCATGAGGCCTTGTACTGAATGGAAACATCAAAACAAAGCAATCAGCCCCTTGAAGTGATGGAGTCCAAGAGCTTCATCATAACAATGTAACATTTTTTTTTACACTGTTTGATTTTTTTTGTAAACTTGAGTTGACACCCACATGGAAGAAAAATATATTTGAAATATATTTTAAAAATATTCTTGCCAAATATATTGCCATATATTTGAAACGCTACAATTTATATACATACTGCATGTTTAAATGCGTTTTGATTACAAAATATATGACAAATATACCGTATGTCCTTAAAAATACAAATCTAAATTTTTGGAATGCATTTATATATAAATATACATACATATATATGCAAATCACAAGTGTAATAAAAGCGCCACACCCTTAATACTTTAAAGCAGCAATTCCACCTCAAAGAAACCAAATAAATTTCTTAGTGCTATAACTTAAATAAAGGAATGCGCTAAAACCACAAACTATTCCTAATTTAGTGTAGAAACATTAGTGCAAAAGATATATATATATCTATTCTCAATTAATATAAAAAAAAAATCAAAATTATGTGCAAAACTATTTTTTAGTGCATAAGTAATTTAAATAATTAAATTTGTGAATATAAAAAAATGTCCAATTCTGAATTTCTTCAAATGTCCAAACAAATCCTTTTCAAATTCAGGTGCTCTCAAAGAAATTGTGCCAAAATCCACCACCAAAGTAAAGTTGGGTAACTCACCAGAGCTCCATGCTGATTAATCTCTAGATCAGCAAAAAACGCTTTTTGCTCTGGGAGCAGATGCAATGAATCAACTTCTCAGGTGTGATGATCAATAGTTACGCAATCATCCATAAGGTAGGTATCCACCACTCAATATAATGGTTCCAGGAGCATTATATCACTCTCTCTTTTTATATTTCTCCACCGAGGTCATGTTTGGGAATGAAAGAGAAAATCATGGTGCAGCCAGTTTTTTTTATAAAAGTATCCAACAATTTAATAAAGATTTACACTCACAAAAAGGGTGTCTTCACCGACACCAGTATAACCGCATAAAACAGCAAATGGTATAACAGTCTCCTGTTCCCCGCACACTCACTACAACGCTCGTGACTCAATTTTCTCCACAGACGTCAGCATCCAGCAAGCCAAGCCCTACTAGTTTCGTCATGAATGCCGTCTTCAAGGGACGTCTTCAATTATTAAATTGTTGGATACTTTTATAAAAAAAACTGGCTGCACCATGATTTTCTCTTTCATTCCCAAACATGACCTCGGTGGAGAGATATAAAAAGAGAGAGTGATATAATGCTCCGGGAACCGTTATAGTGAGTGGTAGATACCTACCTTATGGATGATTGTGTAGCTATTGATCATCACACCTGAGAAGTTGATTCATTGCATCTGCTCCCAGAGCAAAAAGCGTTTTTTGCTGATCTAGAGATTGATCAGCATGGAGCTCTGGTGAGTTACCCAACTTTACTTTGATGGTGGATTTCGGCACAATTTCTTTGAGAGCACCTGAATTTGAAAAGGATTTGTTTGGACATTTGAAGAAATTCAGAATTGGACATTTTTTTATATTCACAAATTTAATTATTTAAATTACTTATGCACTAAAAAATAGTTTTGCACATAATTTTGATATTTTTTGATATTAATTGAGAATAGATATATATATATATCTTTTGCACTAATGTTTCTACACTAAATTAGGAATAGTTTGTGATTTTAGCGCATTCCTTTATTTAAGTTAAAATATATATGCAAATATATGTAAAAATATATGTTACAATTACTTTTTTATATGTTAAAAAAATCTGAAGAATATATTTAACAAATTTCATCATGCAGCATATATACTGTATGTAAATATATATATATATATATATATAATAAATATTTGAATATGGCCAAAATTGTTAGCATTTTAAATATATGGAAATATATTTGGGAAGAATATTTTTAAAATATATTTCAAATATATTTTTCTTCCATATGGGCAGAGTAGATTATATTATAAGCATTTTTTGCTTTATTCATGCAAGTACCACTTTAAGTGAAATATGATTGGATTCCTTGTCATATTACTGAAGCATGTTTTCTGTTGTATATAATTTAATATGACATTAGCAAAAAAAAAATTGCTAAAGCATAGATTACAGCTTAGATTGCATCCTGATGAACTGTATCCTGTCTTGTTTGCTCAGAGACTTACAAGTCTTGTTCTCACATCTGTTCAGTCACCGTCTTCCCATTAGTTTCCTTAAAACAGCTGCTGGAAGCACAGAGGAACAGTGAGGACCTCCGGTTTGGGGCGCTCAAATCTCTGTTCAAAGTCATTAACAGGAAAGCTGTATTTAAAAAGCAAGTGTGTCCTCATGAAGAGTGTGGGGCGGCGGCAGTCCCCATTGTAAAACTAGGAACCACAGTCTGTTCAAATGAAAAAGAAAAAGTCTGTGCATAAAAGAGAACCAGCAATCAATGAGCATTTGCAGGTATAATCATCTCCATACTTATAATAGTTAAATTTAACCTCTCAGGGATTACTTTATTTCTTATTATTCCCTTGTATTCTCTCCCAGTTGGGAGCAGAAGTGTTAATCTAAAACACCATCCTTTCCTCTGTCTGAGCTCACTGCTGTGAACAGAAACTCAAACATTGTCTAGATTACATGAAAAAAACAAAGGCTTCATAAGCAGGCAGATTTGCACTCCTCCAGCAAAATAGAGAGAGTGTTAGGTCAAGGTTAGTGCTGAGCTCAGGCCATACAGAAGTCAATCTCCATGGGGGGCTGAAAGTGTTCCTAAACCCAGGACCCTGCATCCACTATATCCACTCTCCTACAGTACACAGGGCATGGAAATGCAATTATTTTAGTAAATATAAACTGCTAAATACCTTTTCTCATCAGCTTGTGACTTCTATCAGTGTCCAGCCGAGCACTGGTTAAAGCTTGTGTGAGGAGTTTTCTTTCTGCTCTAGGAGGATGCACAACCCCTGACTTCTCTCTGGACAGTGCTGATTGGCCCTGTGCTGATCATATGCACTCTCCCAAAAAAAAAACCCAAAACCTCTCTGGCAATACACACCAAACTGAGCATGTGCAGAGTGACTCCACATGGTATGTCTTATCAGGAGATAAGAGGAGGAGACTGGAAGAAGGGGAGGATCAGAGAAGTCAGGATCAAACAGCGTTTTCACTCAGTGCAGAGGATTAACCCTTTAGGTTCCACCCAAGAAAAAAAACAACTCTCTAGCAAAACACACCAAACTGAGCATGTGCAGAGTGACTCCACACATCAGGAAATAGGATGGGGACACAGGAAGAAGGGGAGGATCAGAGAAGTCGGGATAAAACAGCGGTTTTACACAATGCAGGAATTAACCCCTTAGGTTCCACAGTGAGTATAACAAGCATGCTTTACTGCATATACAGACTGATTTTTACTGTTTTTTAAGTGTGCATATATGGAATGAGCACAAGACCAAAATATAAGAGTCCAAATTCATTTAATTTATTAATTCAATGAATTATTAAATGAATGATTAATTAATTTAAGCAGTTTCTTTTGTTGCTGTGGATGCAGACGCTGCTGGTCAGGAATCCTACTCCAGCAATCAGCTCCCCTGCACAGATTCAAATAGGAAAGCCTTTCTTTGAGTCAATTGAAGGTTCATATTTTTAACTGAAGCCCTGATGAAGGGGGAATTTCCTTTGACCCCCGAAACACGTTGGCTGTCTTTTAACATAACATCAATAAATAAATTTGGATGCTTATCTTTGGTCTGGTGCTCCTTCTGTATATGCACACTTTTTCCTGGTAACCTGCTGGAGTACCCACAGTAGGGTGGCCTTGCCTGTTTTTGAGCAGCCTAACCTGAACCACTGAGCTCTTCAAATGTTTTTTGCCCTCTCACTATCTTGTTTAACCTCTTGGCGCCGAGCGGCCGCACATTTGCGTGCAATTAAGAAAAACATATGTGCTGAGAACTCGCGCCCTGCACACTCCCAACACACGTGTCCGGTACTCACGGAAAGGTCCCGCTCTCCTCTTGCGATCGGGACCTTTCCCGATCATGTGACCGCTGCGGCGGCGAATCACAGCGGTCACATGTCCCTAAAACCCCGCCCTGACTCCCGGCTTCTGAAACCCTTAAAGGGCTGGGAGACACCGGCGCCAAGAGGTTAAACTTATATCAAAGTCCCTACGCCTCTTGGATGCCCTTTTTTTCATTGGAATCCATGGGGGCCTTAGACCTGTCTCACACAGCTTCAGCTTGTGTAAGAGCAGCGTGAACTGCAAGCTTTGTTGAAGTTTTTAACCACTTGACCCCCAGAGGATTTACCCCCCTTCCTGACCAGGCCATTTTTTGCGATACCGCACTGTGTTACTTTAACTGACAATTGAGCGGTCATGTAAGGCTGTACATAAATGAAATTTATGTCCTTTTTTCCCACAAATAGAGCTTTCTTTTGGAGGTATTTGATCTCCTGTCCGGTTTTTATTTTTTTCGCTATAAACAAAAAAAGACCGTCAATTTAAAAAAAAACACAATATATTTGACTTTTTGCTATAAAACTTATCCAGTAAAAAAAATTTAAAACATCAAATTTCGGCACAAATTTAGGCCAAAATGTATTCTGCTACATCTTTGCTAAAAAAAAAAATCCCCAAATAAATGTAAATTAATTGGTTTACGTGAAAGTTATAGTGTCTACAAATGGCAGTATATGTATATATGGAATTTTTTTTTTTTTATACTAGTTATTCTGGGGGGAACTGGCTAACTGCCACTGACATCCCCAGTGATACTAATAAAGTGATCAGTGCTAATAAAAAGCACTGACACTGTACTAATGGAACTGGGCAGGAAGGGGTTAACATCTGGGGTGATCAAAGGGTTAACTGTGTGCTGTGTGTGTGTTTTTAATAGGGAGACATGCTGCAGAGAAATACACAGCAGCATGTTATTGCTGGCAGGAGAGAGACCTGTGTTGTTTACACACAGGTCTCTCCCCTGTCAGTGTTACTCGACAACAGCAAGTTGCTGGTGGGGAATCTTTGTCCAGGACATCTGTGATTGACATCTGTAGCCGCAAATTGCAATGTGAGTAGGGCAGGATCACCAGATAAAAATAGAAGAAAGTCTAATAAAAGGAAACTAATGCAGCCACCATGTCTAATGATTGGTAAGCTGCAATACATTACATGTTTGGTTTTGGGTTTAATACTGCTTTGAACACTGAATTTAACATCTCTCAGAAAATTATTTACAAACTGATCTCAGACATAAATACCCAAATTTTTCCTGCATCAGGGCCAATTTAAAATGAATTGGCTGCAGTAATGCAAAAACTGCTTAAACTGATCATAAAGTAAATGTAAAACATGTATTACCACAGTGCAATATGGTGGTTTAGTGTCCAACAGAGGCCAGTCCAATATCCATTAGAGTGTTAGCCTCTGTGACAGGAGGGGCATGCAGGATCTGAGTCACTGCAAAGATTATAGCACTTGGGCCCCATGTACACGGGACACTTCTGAACGATGGAAACTGACTGCTGGAAAACGTAGGTTAAAAAAATGTCTGTTTAGCCGCGTTTGCATAATGCGTTTATGCACGTTTACGTGCGTTTGCGTTTAGAATAGCACAGGAGAACCTTCCAAATGCTCAGAATTAAATTATTAACTATTTCAGACTGTTTCAGAGAAATACAGAGAGTAGAAGCAGAGACAGCAGTATGTGTTGAGATTAGCTTAGGTGTGAGTCGCTCATTAACATTTCTGTTGTTTCCAAGGGTGGGAAATGTGTCTGGCGAAGTGAGGATTGAATGGTCATTACCATATCTTTTGTTTCCAAGGGTGGGAGAGGTCTAAGGTGTGAATTGGTCATCACAATGTGTGACAAGCTTGGTAGGAACATCCTGTGTTCAGTGTTTTGTCCATCTGAGTACCTTGAAAATGATTTGCATGCATTTTCATGATGAAAAAAAGCTCTGGACAGCATCGGGAACTGGAAGAATTAAAAAAAAAAAAATTCAAATGCAATCACTTATAAACGCAATTTGCCGCATTTACAAGAGTTTTGCGTTTGAACTGCTGATAAAATCGACTGCTGAACGCAAGTTTTGTGTTAAAAAAAACGACTGTAAACTCAAATGCCTGTAAATGACTGTAAACGAAGATGTGTACATGGACACATAGGAAAACACTAGGGTGAGTTCAGGGGCTGCTGAAAAAACGCTGAACAGCTCCTAAACTTGAGTTTATCAGCTGCAGTGTACATGAGCCCTAAAAGGACCTTTTACAGTTTTAAATGTGGGAAGAGACACCTTGAGGGGAAGGGGGGTAGTGCAGTATATTAATTATGACAGGTTCCCTTTAAATGTTGTCCTGCTTCATGTACATCTGCGAGTCGCCCGGCAAGCGCTGTCATCTCCACATCCTGCTTTGACCTTCTGTATAATAATACAAACAATTCCAGATATTGCTGCAGTGCACTTGACAAACTTTACTAAATCATGAATTTCATTTCCTGTGACGATACTTGATGTTATTTATATGTTAAAACATAACAGTCAGGCCAGTCTCATTGGAGAAGCGTACCTGTCCTCCCACACAATCGCTGCAAGGGGAATTTATTTAATAACAAATGAAAAAAAAAAAAAAAAAGAGAGAAAGAAAATTCAGAATGTGGTGCACATTAAATCAGAGTAGCTGAAATAGATGTGCTTGTACGTATTTCCAATGCAAACAGAACTCTAATTTACTATGATGTTTTTAGTGTTTATTTTGTAATTAAATCACAAGGAAAAAAAAAATGATGTACTGCCTGAAAATATTTTTCAAGCATTTTCTGCTTAACGTCTACTAATAATTGTTGGAAGGGGATCACCAGCCATGCAGCCCAATATACAGTTGAAACACGTACAGTATATAGAAAGCGTTTATTGCCAGAAGATTTTTTTTTTTTTGAAGTGACGCACATACACTTGTATCTCATCCACTCCTGCTGTGATACGTGTCTGCAGAGCATATGAACGGTGGAATTACTACTCAGAGATTGTAGTTCTGGAGTGCCATTGCCCCACCTCCTGCTTAGTAGCAACACTTAATATGAGCTCTTTTTCATCCTCACCTAAACCTTCTTCTTTACTTTCCTTTGGCTTGCAAACTAGACATATGCAGGAAGGTGCAGTCTAGTTTCTGCACTGCAGGTGGCACTCAACCATAGCTGCGTTGCAGAGGGAAAGGACGTCAAGAGGAACATACTCTCCTTGGGTCAATGGGGAACTGATTCTACTGGATGCTGCTGCCCCATGTGACTCTGGCCACCATCTTGGGTCAGGCAGAGTCTATTTAAGACACTGGCTCTCGAGCTTGATGCACATTCTGCAAGTGGGCAGCATATAAACCAGTCACCTGTCTATCAGGGCTAGTGAATAGAGTTAGGGAAAGGTTTCAGATGAGTAGGGACAGGATAGAGACACAACATCCATCCTGGAATCCTCCCTTCTCGGGTGCAGAGGGTGCCGAGCCGCCGAGCCTCATTCCACCCTTTAAAACAGATGCTCAAGACCAGCTCTATTCTGCATTGCCAAGACAGACAGTCAGTGTTCACAGTTGGGTGCCTTCCCACCGGGCTGTTTATAAACTCTACGTTGACAGAGAACAGAACTCTAAGTTCTGTTCTCACAGCTGGACTCTGTAATTACTGCTGCGGCACCACGCTTGCACCCCCAACACATTTCCACTGCAGGTATGATTCCAACTTTTAGTGATGTATGGTAGCTAAGCCACAAAGGAAAAGGTGGGTGGCCCCTGTTCCTCTTTTATACAGACTATAATGCTGCATAGACAGGGGCCAGTTGGTCCTACATTGTATGTGATGATGTCAGAAAAAGGGGAGGAGACATGACCAGAGAAGAGGAATTGCTTCAGGTGACCAGTCATCACTACTGGAATCGGCAGGAAGGAAGCCTGTGGCACCATAAAGTAAGGTAAGTAGTAAGGTGAATGAGCATTATGTCTTGTACAAGTAAAGAGGGTAACCCTCATTCTTCTTATGTTGACCAAAGTTCAGCTATATGTAAAGACAACAACTGAAATATTAGATAAGCAAAAGTGAGGAGGAAAGGCAGGGGTTCAGGAGCTCATGGAGGATGTTACAAGGAGGCAGAAAAACAGTAATAAATTATATCATGAAAATAGATTACAGGGCCATTAAGTAGTGGATGTGTATGCATTATTTTTGGATAATACAAGACATTTACTAAAACCTGAGCATGCAAAATCTGGAGCATCTGCATAGAAACCAATCAGCTTCCAGGTTTTATTGCTAACGTTTTCTGAGTGCTTCAAATTTAGTAAATCTCCTTCTATGGATATTGTTTAGTGCCACTTTACGTTTTGGTAGGTTCTTGGGAGTTTGGGGATTTAAAGTGGCATTAAACCCAAAAACAAAAATATATATATAATAAAATGATATATTGCAGCTTACCAATTCTTTGATGTGGGGATGGTCTTAATTTTCTTTTTTTAGGCTTTTTTCCCGTTATATAATTATCTTTGCCTGGTGTTCAGGCCAGTAAGGCTTTGTTCACACCTTATGTGCAGGAAACTCTGATGGAAGCTGATGCACAGATTTCACTTTTGGAGACAGCTGTTTACATCAATTTTCATGCGTGCTCCAATTAATTTTATACAAAAAAAACTAAAACCTGGTGCTGTAACTGCTTAAAGTGTTCAGCCTTAGTTTTAGTCCATCTAAATCTACTAGTACATCTAATACTTCCCTCTACCCAGATTCACAATGATGCTGTCCAAAAGGTGTCTTCATTGTTCTTCCAGTGGAGTGTAGAAACCTTAAGATAGGAAGTGTGCTACAGGAAGGATCACCAGGCGAAAATAAAGCAAAAAATGCCTAAAAACAAAACAAAAAAAACAAATGCAGCATTAGGCATTTTTTCCTTTTTTTTCACCTGGAGATCCTGCTAGTAGCAAACTTCCTATTTCAGGGTCTCTCCACTCCAATGGAGGAGCAATGAAGACACCTTTTGGACAGCAGCATTGAGAATCTGCAGAGAGGGTAATGTTAGACTAGCATATTTAGATGAGCCTGATTAACAAATTAAAGCCGAATTCCAGCAAACACTTTTTAAGCAGTTACAGCAACAGATTTTTTTCCATAAATAAATAACAGTTCACCATTGTAGCCCCCTTCTCAATGTAAATGGCTTGTCTCAATCCTCTAAATGCTATTTTTGCTGGACAGCTTAGTCTGTTAAAGGAAGTTGAAAAGTAAAATTACTGGTGAAAATAAAGGGAGAAAAAGCCTAAAATACAGTCACCACATCAAACAATTGGTAAGCTGCAATATATTACATTTTTGTTTGGGTTTAATACTGCTTTAATTGCTGGATCACCAGGTATCATTTTAATGAAAATTGCAGATTAAAAAAAAATAAAAACGTTTAAATTAAATTAACATGTTAAAGATTATATGAGTATTTAATGATCTGTTTTAGCTTTACTTTAAAGCTGGGGGAAGGAGGAGGGAGGGGAACTATTGCACACCATCTTCCTTGAGATGCTAAAACGTAGTTTTATATAGATCTGTTGCCAGGATAATCACAATGAGAGAACTATAGCAGAAAGTATAGATTATTAGGAAAGTGTCAAACTGAAATCAACATCTGATTTTTTTTTCTCTTGCACATTGTCTCTACTAGATATTGTAAGTCCAGAATTTTATTAAGGCCTCTTGATCAAAAATACACTTGACAGAACAAGTCAAAAATGAAAGAAATAAGATAGTGTCTATTCTAGACATGATGAAGCTATTGTGTGCTAACTGTAGTACTGACAACCAATACCTGTAATTTGATGAGCATGTAATGTAATCTAGGCGGTTCAATCTGATTAAAAAAAAAAACACTTCAATAACAAGTAATAGAGACAGTTTTTGCATGGAATAGTTGCCTTGGCTGAAACCTCCACGTTCTTGCGATATGCCAGTC